CATGGGGAGGTCATGGGGGGTCCTGGGGTGGGTCAGGGGGGGTCCTGAGGTTGCCGCTCAGGGGTCACCAAGGGGTCACAACCCCGGGGGGATGCAGGGGGGTGGGGGGGGGAGGGTCAATCAACCCCTCCCCCACCAACACACGGTTGGATTTTTTGGGGGGTGGGGGGGACCATTTAAAGCTCAGATTTTTGGGGACTGTTGAAAGGTCCCAGCTGACCCCCCCTCCCCAAATTAAACCCCCCAGGGCCCCCCCGAGCGGCGTCGGGAGGCGGAGCTGGAGGCGTCGCTGGGCCGGCACCGCGTGGCCACCCTCTGGAGGCAACTGCAGCGGCTCCAGGACGAGGCCACCAGCGCCCAGAGGGAGCTGGCCCGGGCACACGAGGCGGGGGCCAAGCTCCAGAGGGACCTCAAGGAGGTGGGATGGGAAAAAATGGGAAAAAACGGGGAAAAAATGGGAAAAAACGGGGAAAAAATGAGAGAAAATGGCTGAAAATGGCTAAAAAATGAGAGAAACTGGGACAAACTGGGACAAACTGGGAGCTGCCCCAGGCACACGAGGCGAGGGCCGAGCTCCAGAGGGACCTCAAGGAGGTGGGATGGGAGAAAATGGGAAAAAATGGGAAAAAACGGGAAAAAACGGGGAAAAAATGGCTGAAAATGGCTAAAAAATGAGAGAAAATGGGGGTAAATGGGACAAACTGGGACAAACTGGGACAAACTGGGACAAACTGGGAGCTGGCCCGGGCACACGAGGTGGGGGCTGAGCTCCAGAGGGACCTCAAGGAGGTGGGATGGGAGAAAATGGGAAAAAACGGGAAAAAACGGGAAAAAACGGGGAAAAAATGGCTGAAAATGGCTAAAAAATGAGAGAAAATGGGGGTAAATGGGACAAACTGGGACAAACTGGGACAAACTGGGAGAAACTGGGAGCTGGCCCGGGCACACGAGGCGGGGGCCGAACTCCAGAGGGACCTCAAGGAGGTGGGATGGGGGAAAATGGGAAAAAACGGGAAAAAACGGGGAAAAAATGGCTGAAAATGGTGAATATTTGAGAGAAACTGGGACAAACTGGGACAAACTGGGAGAAACTGGGAGCTGGCCCAGGGCACACGAGGTGGGGGCCGAGCTCCAGAGGGACCTCAAGGAGGTGGGAGTGGAAAAAATGGGAAAATGGGAAAAAACGGGAAAAAACGGGAAAAAACGGGGAAAAAATGGGGAAAAACTGGGAAAAAATGGCTAAAAATGGGACAAACTGGGACAAACTGGGACAAACTGGGACCTGGCCCGGGCACATGAGGCGGGGGCCAAGCTCCAGAGGGACCTCAAGGAGGTGGGAGTGGGAAAAAACCTGGAAAATTGGGAAAAAATGGAAAAACGGGGAAAAAATGGGCAAAAATGGTGAATATTTGAGAGAAACTGGGACAAACTGGGACAAACTGGGACAAACTGGGAGCTGGCCCAGGCACACGAGGCGGGGGCCAAGCTCCAGAGGGACCTCAAGGAGGTGGGAGTGGAAAAAACCTGGAAAATTGGGCAAAAATGGGAAAAATGCCTAAAAATGGCAAAAAAATGAGAGAAAATGGGGGTAAATGGGACAAACTGGGACAAACTGGGACAAACTGGGAGAAACTGGGAGCTGGCCCCAGGCACGCGAGGCGGGGGCCAAGCTCCAGAGGGACCTCAAGGAGGTGGGATGGGAGAAAATGGGAAAAAACGGGAAAAAACGGGAAAAAACGGGGAAAAAATGGCTGAAAATGGTGAATATTTGAGAGAAACTGGGACAAACTGGGACAAACTGGGACAAACTGGGAGCTGGCCCGGGCACACGAGGCGGGGGCCGAGCTCCAGAGGGACCTCAAGGAGGTGGGAGTGGAAAAAAACTGGAAAATTGGGAAAAATGGGGAAAAACGGGGAAAAAATGATAAAAAATGGGAGAAAATGGGGGAAAATGTCCCCAGTGGTGTCCCCAATGTCCCCAATGTCCCCAATGTCCCCAATGATGTCCCCAATGATGTCCCCAATGTGTCCCCAATGTCCCCAATGTCCCCAATGTCCCCAATGGTGTCCCCAATGATGTCCCCAATAATGTCCCCAATGGTGTCCCCAATGATGTCCCCAATAATGTCCCCAATGATGTCCCCAATGATGTCCCCAATGATGTCCCCAATAATGTCCCCAATGATGTCCCCAATGATGTCCCCAATGATGTCCCCAATGTGTCCCCAATGATGTCCCCATTAATGTCCCCAATGATGTCCCCAATGTGTCCCCAATGATGTCCCCAATGGTGTCCCCAATGTGTCCCCAATGATGTCCCCAATGATGTCCCCAATGATGTCCCCAATGGTGTCCCCAATGTCCCAAATGTGTCCCCAATGTGTCCCCAATGTCCCCAATGTCCCCATTAATGTCCCCAATGTCCCCCCAGGCTCTAGCTCAAAGGGAGGACATGGAGGAGCGCATCACGACCCTGTCCCCAATGATGTCCCCAATGATGTCCCCAATAATGTCCCCAATGTCCCCATTAATGTCCCCAATGATGTCCCCAATGTCCCCCCCAGGCTCTAGCCCAGCGGGAGGACATGGAGGAGCGCATCACGACCCTGTCCCCATTAATGTCCCCAATGATGTCCCCATTAATGTCCCCAATGATGTCCCCAATGATGTCCCCCCCAGGCTCTAGCTCAGCGTGAGGACATGGAGGAGCGCATCACCACCCTGTCCCCAATGATGTCCCCATTAATGTCCCCAATGGTGTCCCCAATGTGTCCCCCCCAGGCCCTGGCCCAGCGGGAGGACATGGAGGAGCGCATCACGACCCTGTCCCCAATGATGTCCCCATTAATGTCCCCAATGATGTCCCCAGTGTCCCCAATGTGTCCCCAATGTGTCCCCAGTGTCCCCAATGTCCCCATTAATGTCCCCAATGGTGTCCCCAGGCCCTGGCCCAGCGTGAGGACATGGAGGAGCGCATCACGACCCTGTCCCCAATGGTGTCCCCAATGTCCCCAATGTGTCCCCAATGTGTCCCCCCCAGGCTCTAGCTCAGCGGGAGGACATGGAGGAGCGCATCACGACCCTGTCCCCAATGTGTCCCCAATGATGTCCCCATTAATGTCCCCAATGTCCCCCCAGGCTCTAGCACAAAGGGAGGACATGGAGGAGCGCATCACGACGCTGTCCCCAATAATGTCCCCAATGATGTCCCCATTAATGTCCCCAATGATGTCCCCAATGTCCCCCCAGGCCCTGGCTCAGCGGGAGGACATGGAGGAGCGCATCACGACGCTGGAGCGGCGCTACCTGAGCGCCCAACGCGAGGCCACGTCCCTGCACGACGCCAACGACCGCCTGGAGAACGAGCTGGCCAGCAAGGACTCCCTCTACAGACAGGTGGGGGCACACCTGGGGGCACCTGGGGGCACCTGGGGGGACATAGGATACACCTGGGGGCACCTGGAGAACGAGCTGGCCAGCAAGGACTCCCTCTACAGACAGGTGGGGGCACACCTGGGGGCACCTGGGGGCACCTGGGGGTACATAGGATACACCTGGGCACACCTGGGCACACCTGG